AGGTTTACTTGAAAAAGTTGTTTCTATTTCAATTTTACACATGCTTCTCGAATTTGATCTTTCTATTGCAACTTTTAGATATTGATTTTTTATCAATTTTTCGAAATTTCTGTAATATTTGGGGAATTGTTGATTCCACGAAACTACTTCATACCAGTAGCTTTTTCATGCTACTCATTTTCAATTACTCATTATCACTGATTATGGACAGAAATATGATTTTCTTCAGAAAATGATAATACCCGCTTCCAAATTCTGTTATGTTTGATGCAAAGTTGATATATCGTCAAGTATTTAGAAACAAAATTCATTTAAACTGATCTTTTCAGTACTGGAAAAATAAATTCTAATAAATTTCGTTTCTAAATGCTCGATTCAAACATAACAGAATTTTGATAATTAGTGATAATCAGTAATTGAAAGTTAGTAGCATGATGAAACTACTGGTATGAAGTAGTTTTATCGAATTAACAATTTTTTTAATATTACAGAAATTTTGAAAATTAAAAAAAAAATATCGAAATCTAAAAAATGTTATAGAAATATAAAATATGAGTCACATATGTAAAATTCAAATAGAAACAACTTTTTCAAGTAAACTTTTTCGATATTCGAACAAATAAGCCGACTTTCAGCGATTAACTTGAAAAAATGTCACTTTTGACAGCGAAAGTCACGTGACCCCGTTTGAGTAGGCCATTTTTCATCTTTTTTGAACAAAACTTACCGTCCAACTAGAATTCCAAAATAAGTCATTCATAAAAGTTTTTCCCATATATGATGCCGACTTTATGAATGACACTGTATATCCAAATGGATTGCGAAAAGGAGATATTTCGCAAATTTTTCACTTTATGGTCACTTCAAGTTTCACCTATAATGACTCCGATTTGAATATTCGAATGAAACACTCCATATATTGTAACATTCTTGGAATTCTAGACCAGAATGTGACATTCCGAAGGTATTCGAGCCACTCTCGATATTGAATCTAGGTGAGCAAGATCAGAAGAAAACTATAATCTATATTAGGACTTCATGTGATGACAAAAAATCACTATCGCTAAGTTTTAGTAACTATCATGAAAAATAGGAATGGGGCAACCTGGTGGTAGGCGAAATCACATTTTCTTGTCTAACCATCATTTTTCAAGAGGCGACCAATTTTTTACAAGCACTTCTCGGAAAAAGAATTTTTTGATGAATCTATACTTATTCATTCGCGATCGGTTCGAAAATGAGAACATGAATCAAGTAGGTACATATTACTGAGAAAAATATCAGATAATAATTTATTTTAATGTTGTCAAGTGTGCCATGGCCATGATGCATAATATTTGAAAGGTAATTTTATCAAGTCATCTTCGGAAACCAAAACACTTACTAAGGTAGTGACAGTGGCATAACCCTAGTGAGCAGACCGTCAAAGTACCCCAATTGAATGCAATATTGGAAGTGCCCACAAAGAATGCAAGTAGTATGCGTGAAAACTTGAGGAAATTCCACATTGTGATCCAGAGTGATCTCAGACATCCAGAAATGTTACGATATACAATAGTGTGTTCCATTCACGATTTAAAATCTGGAGCAATTTCCGTTGATACCAGATATGACCGGAAAGTGAAAACTATGACAAAACGCCCCTTTTCAAGATATGTATATCATTCACCTATATCAAAGCCTATTTTGATACATCTATGATATCCTAGAGGTCTAATAAAAACGTTGCCACGCCGGGTATGTAGTGTTTGATACTGTAATGATATTCCCCTCAGAGGGGCTCTAGAAACATCAGCAGGAAGGCAGGAGTTCAACGATCATTCTGTTACACGCATCCCACATTGTTCTCCTACATCCCAATGATTCCTATATGTACCAGCCTATTTCGGAACACAGAGAGATAGTTATTGTTCAAAGACGCTTCTAGAACAAAGAGAATGATACGGAAGATCATTCGAGAACGTTCGAGAAGCAAAGCCTGCCATATCGACGGCCGGACAACTGCAGTCAGTCAGTCAAGCAGCGGGTGTCAGAGAGACAGTCATATACCGCGTGATATAAATCGTGTTACATAAATAGTAGTTATAAGTTCGATATAAATTAGTGTTCCTCTAGTTGAGATGAATCAGTTCGTTAGCAGAGGATTTTTGTATGTTATGTTTATTGCTTTCACACTGAAAAAAAAGATGGTAGTTTTTACCAAACGTTTAGTAAAATAGGCGCCAGTCACAACTTTCATCAAATGATACCACTACAACATATATATATAATACTATACTATATCAAATATCACCACAACAAAATAGTATAATACTCATAGTCAAGTATAGTACAACTTTGTAGTGGTATTATTTGATGAATGTAGTGACTGACGCCTATTCTACTGAACATTTGGTATTCACTACCGACTATTTCTCTGACTGTACCCTGACATTCTTTCAAACTATTTATAGACATTTATCCACAGATTACTACGCTGGGCTAGTTAGATTCAGCAATAGTATATGTACAACACTACAAGGTTACACTGGCACATGCTATAGGAAGAATCAGTGTACTGAAATTGGTGGAGTAGTATCCGGAGTATGCGCCAATGGTATTGGAAGGTGCTGTTTATGTAAGTAGGTAGCGAGTGTTGAACACTTCTTCAGGAGCTTCACAAAATTTATAAGTAATTTCAAATGAAATTGAAGATTTGGGATGGTTTGTGGTGACTTCCGGTTGACCAAGACATTGTAGAAGGTGTGAGGTTAAAAAATACATCGTTACTAATGGTTACATATTAAAACTCTTGTTTTTTTCTTCATGATACATCTATACTTCCACAAATTGTCTGTGTCACCTATGTACAGGGTGTCTCAAATTCACTGGGACACAGAGATTCCACGTGTGGAACAGCTCAAGATGAGTTGATTGGACCCAACTCATTTATATAAAAAAATATACAGTTTGTCCGTGAAAGGAGTTCAAAGTTTACATAAAGGAACATATTTTTGTGCGCTGTTCAAGAATGAGTGGAACAATTTGGATGAAATCTGACGATAGTGCATTTCGAAGGATAACCCTCCTTGTCTTTTCAGTTATCAAAAAAGCTTGGAAGAAATTGTAGGAGGGTTGAAACCACCGTCACTTCCTGACATTCTTTTCAGAACATTCTTAGGGGTGGTAATATGGTCCCCAAATTCCTTAGGAAAGATAACTGATTAATTATCTCCATGTTGTTAGTCCTGTGAAGATTTCCTATTCCGCATCTTTCAAGGGGAAAGATGTTTTCCCTAATAAGGCCAACAGATATTCCTAGTAAGAGTTTGATGAGATTGTGATACAAAATCATTTGGCAGTGGAAACAAACGATTGAACATTTGTATTGATGAAAGTGGGGTCATGTTGAACAACCACTGTCAACAAGATTTTTCATAGCAATGATATTAAACTCTCACTGAGAATATTTATTAGCAGTATTCAATAAAACATTCTCCTCCTTCGGAACTTTGTAGAATCCGGGATTTTTACAAGGGTGACAAAATGATAATAATTAATCAGTCATCCCGCTTAGAAATTTTGAGAACTGTATCAACACCCCCAAGAATGTTCTCAAAAATATGTCAAAGGGTAAGGAAGCTTTCAACCCTTCTTCGATTTCTATTGGGTTCTTTTGATTACCAGAAAAAAAAATCATTCAATTTGTTTCAGTAATTTTTGAACAGTGTACAAAAATGTGTTTTTATTTGTTAACTTTGAAATCGCCTAATGAACAAACGGTACATTTTGTTATGTTAAAAAATAGGCCCAATCAACTAATTTTGACATGTTTAACAGGTGGTAGCTCTGTGTCACAGAAATTCTGTGACACCCTGTATATCAGGCTTATTCTATTGATCATAGGATATTGGTTATTGAAGCAGTTTCAATAGGCATTGCGAATTCTCATTCTGATATCCGCACCTATATATTTATATAATTTATATATTTGCTGACAATAATTGATGTAATACCAATATAGTACAAGAAGTTGTATTTCGTGCAAAATAAATTTCATTCAATTTTTTGTAGCAGAGAGAGAACTAAACAATTATGACATTTCACCTAAGAATCAATTTGACCTCAATAGTTCACCACTGTTCAAATTGTTTTCTTAGTATTTAATAATAGGTCAATCAACCCTTTCAAGTTAATCTGGTACACCGTATTTTAATGTAGATACTGCACCTAATTTCCGGAAATGAAGGTTTATTGAACCCTTCCACAGGTATTCAATCCTTCAGGTCGTCACCTGACGAAGCTACTGTGTTAGCGAAACATGTCGTGTGTTTGAGAATTTTGTGGAAATCTTATCCTTCGTGGAGTTTTTCCATTATATTCCATTTGTGAAAGCGAAAACATTGAAAACAATCGTCTGAAAGGAATAATTTAAAAAATTCCATCGAATAACTATACAGCTCCTTTACCTCAAATGATCGATTTTTCTTTACCAATACAAGTTGAGCTCTGTTTAACATGTTTCTTCTCATTCTTTTTCAACTAGTTCATCTAGTGGATCCGTATGATAGGATATTGAAGATGAATACCTCTTCAGGTTCTTCAAAATTCGACTCTGTCAATATATATTTATCAAGAATGTTCAAGGTTTAACAGTTCATGTAATGACATATGCATTCCTCATGGATGGATTTACAGAATAACATTTGGTCAATGTCAATGTTGAAATGTGTCAGTAACCAATCATTGCATATCTTCGATTTCAATTGAGGGTCACCAGAATAAGCCTCAAGATTGAGAAAAAAATATGATAGCAGCTGTGAATATTTTTTGATTGGATCAACCTGGAAGTATATTGTGAATATCGATGGGGCCTAACATTTTCAGTCTCAGTAGTTGCCGTTACTGAAAAGTGAGGTTAATGTCAAAGTAAAAAAAATCAGGAATTTTGCCTCCGAAGGCGAAAATAATATTCGGAAGAAATAATGTTAAATCCTTGAAAAAATAGAAAACCTCTAGATATGGAGAGACTCGAACAGACGTACGTGTTTCTACTCTCAATGTGTAACTTCACGATCAATTCTTACATTGACAGAGAAGAAGATATCGTAAGAAGAGGCCCAATTACACGAACAAAAGAAATAAATCCATCAGTTCCACCAGCACTGACCTCACGTTTCAGTAGCGCGATTTTCTTGGACAATATAAATAAAGTAGCCTCCCATTCATGATTTTTGTTAGTTCAAGGAACATGTGGTGATATATCTTCTCATAACAACACCTACTTCACCAATAGAGGATATCCAAATCCGCAGCTAGCAGGTACTCAATGTGTGTTCAAAATAGTACCTACTTCCACAAACATCTGTCAGGTGAGACTTTGAGCTTTTCATATAGAACACTACGCTAATAACACAATTATGTCCCATGGATATCCTTAGGACGTCCTGTCGGGACATTCAGGACGTCCATAGGATGTTCGAATTTGGTACTGTGGACGTCCATTGGACGTCTGTGGGACGCACAAATGTCCCACTTGAGGACCAACTAGGGACGTTCCAACAATATTCCTCATCAAGCACTACGAAGGACATCCTTCGGACGTCCGTAGAACAACCTATCAGCAACGCTGAGGGATATTTATTGGATGTCCATAGGATGTCCCAGGGACGTACACATTATTCTCAAATTAAATTTTTTTTGGGTCCCTCTGGGACCAGATCTTGCATAATAACTGATAAGGAGATCCAGTTGAGTTAATGGTCCGTAGAAAGTCCCCAATATATCCTGAAGAAGTTTCCCAAGGATGTCCAATGGACTAACGTGAAGGACATTGACAAGGAGTATCTATACAGTACGAGCAATCATTCGTCGGCGAGGTGTAAGTTAACGTCCTCGCAGGGACAACACATTGAAAGTAACGACAGGGACGTCCGTAGTACGTTATTCCTAGGACATTGGAAGAGTACAGTCTGAAGTCATGCCAGAATATGTACCACTCGCGACATCCGATGGATGTCCCTAAACGAACGTTTAAAATCATATCCCATCAGGGACATGCCAAGGACGTCCTTGCATGGACATTCTTCAATATATGTACCACGTGGGACGTCTGAGGGATGCTATTTCTATGACATTTGAAATGATGTACCAGTTGGGACATTCCGTGGACGTCCTTGCTCGGACATTGCATGATATGTACGGAATGCGACGTCCCAAGGACACTTATTTTTGGTCCGGGACATTCGGACTTGAATTGTACCAAATAGGGACGTCCCTAGGACGTTGTGTGCTATAAGGGTAAGGCTCTAGCAGGTAACTTCGCTGCAGACAACCTCAATCTACTATCAATAATTCATCGTTAACTTTTTGATCGACAAAGCAATTCTGACATACTAGACGACAAGAAAATAGTCGCATCAACTTGTTTGAGCGAGACTTTATGCAGTGGACTGTAATTTTTTGAGATGAAATTCAAACCGGCACAAGAAACGTAATAACCATACTGCCACTCACCATGTGTCTCAGGAATACAGGAACTGTTGAAAACAGGATCTTCTGCCTAGCTAGGATCTTTCTTGTGTAGCACCAACTCTTGATTTGTATAGTCGACTTCATATCACCATGATATTTAATTTAAAACAGTATGTTTTTGAGTATTCGGATTGCGCGAGCGTATCGTACGAAATCTCGATCGGTTCTCTTCTTTTTCCTTCTTCGAGCCTCGCTACCAAGACTCGCAGTTTTTTGCTCAGGGTTTTGTTTCTGAGCACCCAGTGGCGGAGTAACAATCCTTGCGCCTGAGTATTATTAATATGCTAGTTTGCTAATTCAATAAGTTTCACTTACACATTGATAGTTGATTGTTAAATAGAATTAGAATTAGTTGAACGGACGAACCACAACTATAGATTTCCATTCTACTTGCTGGAATCGCACTATTTGTTGAGGGCACTCGTGCTTGCTCTGTGCTAGTGCTGTCAGTAAATTGGAGAGTGGAAAACGCTATTGACCTTTACCTTTCTCAGATAAGACTGGACTTTCTGAGTTTCACTCTGGCTCAGCCCAATGGAAACGGTAGCTGCGTCTTCGATTCCATGGCTATAACAGGCTCCGGATCCAGCATTCCGGTGATATGTGGCGAGAATTCCGGTCAACACATGTATCTTATGGTCGACGGTACGAATCCAATAAGTATAATAATTTCCACGTCAGCTACGGTCGTGTTTGGGAGAAGTTGGAATATCAAAGTTGCACAGATCGCATGTGATTGTCCTACATTAGGTGAGTAGTGTCATCTCAACAGCCGGATTCAGAGGATACACTCTAGGATCTACCTGTGGTTCGGGCCCTGGGCTCGTAGAGCATTTGGGGGATATTGAGTACTCCATTAATAAGAGATTGAGGCCGAGGGCCCTGACCCGGAGAAATTCTGAAAACATCGTTAATTCACAACACAGGTTGTTTTCGGTAAAGATAAGCCACAAAATTGAACATTACTCCAACACTTCAATGAACATTAGTGAAATCGATATCAAGAACTTCTTTCCTCTTCTTCAGATCATAAGTATATTCCTCAGAATGAATCCTTTTTTGAATATTAAATGTACCTACTGCGAATCATGTTCACTTCAGTCACTCTTGCTGACTGGTTTTCATCTAATGTTCTCAATAATGGAGGCGTTTATCATATTCTCATGGTTGATTCCTATGAGAATGTCAAGTTCTTTACTGAGCAAGGCCAAAAATTTCAACCTGTCTTTTGACATAGAGGTGCAGAGTCTGTTCTTTATCAGCTTCAGTTTAGAGAATAATTTTTCAGCAGAGCAATTAGTCACCATCAAAGAAAGTTGATACATACAATGGTGCGGGCTCCTTTGTGGTGTGAGCCCCTATAGGCGCGCGCATACGTCGCCTATGCCTAAATCCGGCCCTAACAAAAGGGGATGTTATTTCTCTCATGGAATATGTCTTGTTTGTATTTCTAGAGTATAAACCAATGCGAAGTTAGTTATAGTGTGTTATGGATTGATTAATCATTCTCACAAATAGTATAGCAGAGTATATATATTTTATCTGAGATTCTTAAAACTTTTTCTCATCAGGATGATTGAATGTCATCAACTATTACGCCCTGTATATTATGAACAACTTGTTGCCTTATGAGGCTGAAAGTTCACATGAAGGAGAAGGAATAAATTGACAATTCGTCAATTCGAAAATGTGCCCTCCTCAAGGTTATATAGACTTGTCAAGACGTTCTCTATTCTCAGAGTTTGTTTCTTTATCGTGGAATACTCTGTATGTTGATTGAGTTGGAAATTCATTGTATATAATAAAACCAAGTCCAGATGCCATTTTATGATTTTATATAATTTCAGCACCAGCAGGATGTCTTCAGTACTACACAGAACCATCCAGAACTGTAACTAGTTTCAATTACGGTACAGATCTGAATGGTAACTTGGTGAATTTTGGAAATGGCACCATTGTGGCTGGCACTCGTCAGATTGCCAACATGAATTACGGAATATGTATAGGAGCATTGCCGGGTAAGCAATTGTATGAAATGTCGAATCATTGTCGATCTAAATGAAAACCTAGCAGGCGACCAAGAGCGAGGAGGTAATAATATTGTCTATATCGAAGACTGAAACCTTTGGCACGATAATACGCCGATATACCGATTTTTCACACATTGACACGTGTTTCACTAACTATGTTAGCATCGTCAAGAGAAGATTAAGACTACATTCTCTATTCTAGTGGGATACTTATATACTAAAAACATATCCACCCAACCGTGAATAGAAAATAACCGCCAAGTTAATATGATTCATGGTTGAATTCACATGATATATAACTAAACTATACAGAGGGCTGAATGACCCAGACAGCACCAGATATTCCATGAATCTCCCTATCATATTCCTTTTGGAATATTGAAATATTCTAGGAATAATCTGGAATATTCCGGAATATCTGTGGAATATTCTCTGAATATGCGAATGGGAATTCCTCAGATATTCATAGAATATATCCAAAAGAATATTCTATGTTGAATGTTCCTGGAATATTCCAAAATACATATTCTAAAATTAAAAAAAAGGTGACCAAGTAGGGATCGAACTCGTGACCTCAAGAATATCAGAGCAACGCCTTGACCACTAGGCCAGTAATCGAATTGAATAATGTTGTACATATCAATTTCTTGTGAGAGCGTTGTTCGAAATCGGATCATATAAACACTTTTTGTTTCAAAATCCCCTTAAATCTAATTGATGTTTGATACTCACATCTCTGAAATAATGATTGCATGGTATTTATGTGTTGAGAAACATAGGAATATTCAGTTGAGAATATTTTATGAATATACCGCACAGAATATTCAGTTGAGAATATTTCATGAATATACCCCACAGAACATTCAGTTGGGAATATTTCATGAATATACAACAGAGAATATTCAGTTAGGAATATTCCTGGAAAATTCATATTCGAACTTTCCCTGAACATATCCGGCTATTCACTTTGGAATATTCCTTTTAGATGTTCCAGAGGCACGTATATATTCTAGGAATAATCGATGAATATTCGGAATATACTCCTCCTTTTTAGCATATTTAAAGAATATTCTGAGAATATCCAGTGCTGTCTGGGGAGATAGGTCCATCATCCTCATTCATTACTCTATTACCATTCCTAAATATCTCAGAGCTTTCATATGCATTTAATTTTTCAACATTATCATCTTGCTTTTTGAGGTTATCAATAATTTGTGTTACGATTGTAATTGAACATATGTTCGGCTACACACGATCTATCTAACCTACCATATTTCAAATGTGCTAAGTGTTTTTTGAACCTTGTTTTAATGAGACACCTGGTTAGCGTATATATGTTTCGTCACGATCATTACAAATAATTTCAAATAAAGGGAAAGCAATTGTTCAATTGTGAGATAAAGTTATCCATATCTGTGGTTTTTGAATCGAAAATGACAAAAATATTCTTTAAATATACTCCTGAAGATGCTAACATAGTACGCGAAACACGTGTCGAGGAGTAAAAAATTGGTTTGGTTAGTGGTGAAACAGTGTGTAGTGTATAAAATTGTCTGTTCAGTGAATCGGAATATGTCTGCCTGTCAAGTGGCGCTGGGGAAGGGACTATAGAAATATATCATTTGTTCATGTGAAAATAGACAATATTAGGTTGACATTCTCTTCTTCTATTTGTCTTCAATCTGTACTCAACCACAGACGTGATTTCCATCATAGCTCTTGCCTACTGACTACCTTACTAGGTGGTCATCTAGAACGACAATGGTCAGATAATATAGGGCCTCCGACGTAACTATACAATCAAAACAATAGGAGAAAACTCAACTTTTCAATAAAAAAAAACAACAATGATAGATGACGAAGGACAAACACGTTTTTTTGTGTGATGTCGTGAAAAACATTTCCCGAAATCTGTACCTGAGAGCTATACTTAACCTGAAGAACTAACTCCAAACTATGTTATTGGACCATAGGTTAAAGCATCTGATTATGTAGGAAATTATCCTTCGACAACTAATTCATACATTGCTTACTGGATTGTAATCAGTTGATAAGTCATTGCAATCGGTAATAATGACATATTTTGGCCAGTTATACAAGGTGAAGATTTGTACTAGCTGCATACACGTAACCCATCAATGAAATGAAGAAATTTGAGCGCTTTCGGGTAATGAGCCATCATCAGTGCTATACCTGCAAGTTAGAAATTTTCTATGGAATGTTGATGAAGAAGATAAGATTATAAACTTACTCTTCAAGTAGGTACTTCTAAAGAGAAGGCCAAAATTTCATTGACGCCATCATTATGGTACGAACGGTAGTGAGAACAGACATACATTTTACAAATGAGAATACCCCAAGGGGATGACAGTAGAATTTCAAATTACATATTATAATATTCTCGTTCAGGTCCGATGGAGAGCACGAGGGACCTTTAACCTTAATTGGCGTGACCTTAACCATATTGATCTCTGGTAGAAGTAAGTCTATGTTTGCTCAAAGTGTAGTCGAAATTTTCAGGAGAAAGAAGGAAAGCTCAAAGTCATCCCCACTGATTACTGATGTAAATCAATTATGGAAACATGTTTCGGACTTATAAAAATCCATCTTCAGCCATCTCAAGAAGTTACTAAAAGCAAAGGCATATGAAAATATACATATTATGAAATGAACTTACATGGAGGTGAAACAGTATTTCAAATTGGATGCTGATGTCTATCTTCATAATATCGTGGTTATAATGGTGAAAATAGAGGTTGAGAATAAACGGGTTTCCATCCAAAATGAGAGGCCCCGTGCCCTAAGAACGCACACTTATGAAACCAAATGTCAAGTCCCAGGAAGAAATATTGACGAGCATTCAAAGATGCTCAGAACCATATATCAGGTTGCAAACAGAAAAAACAAAGGGTCCAAAAATCAATCAAAATTGATGGGGCCAAGAGCCAAAAACGTTTTGAAGCCAACCTCAGGTTACAAACACGGAAATAAATTTATGATTCCACTTGACTTATGACTCATGCCATTGTTTACATATTTATTTCCGTGTAACCTTAGGTTGGATTCAACACAACATTCTGGCTGTTGGCCATATCAATTTCAGATGATTTTCTGAATTTTAGTGCGCTTTCTTGAGGCTACATGACGTTTTGTTCTTTCCTGTTTGCAACCTACTATGTGTTTTAATCTATGGTGAAAGTCCATGGTATCTCGACGTGGAGTGAATAGATTCATGAACAAGACACACAATATAGTTTTCATGGTTTTTATGAGCATCTTTGAGTGCCCGTCAAGTTTTTCCTTCTGGGACTTGACATTTGGTTCATTTGTGCTCGTTTTAAGGGCACGGGGCCGTTCATTTCTAATGAAAATAATCTCATCCTCAACCCCTTTTTTTCACCAATATAACCACGATATTATGATGATAGACATCGGCATTCAATTAAAAATACTATTTCACCTACATGTAAATCAACTTCTGGTTTTTTATAATATTTATATTTTGCCTTTGCTTGTAGTAACTTCTGGAAACGACCGAAGTTGCCTACTCCTTCGAGGGAACTGAGGATGTGTGGGTGGTGGAGTGGTGGTGGAGTGGTATTTATAGTGAATGTGGTGGTCAGTGAATACTATTTGTGACAGAATTATCACAGTGTTGTCTATTCAGTCAATTAAAATTTCATATTGGGGTTAAAAAACCTTATTCTGGGGATACTAACAACAGCTGACTATTTGCCACAACTGATGACACATTTATCGTAAAAGGTTTATCATTATTATTCATAGCAGAAATTGTTTAGTCATAACTAATAATTTTAGTTGTACTGCGTCGTTCGGGGCCGCCTCGCGTCTCTTCGGGACCCACCGGCAAAAATTGCATCTTGCATCTGTTTGTCTTTCTGTTTCATGATTTGAACTTGTATCTTAATAGTGGATAGATCGCACGGTCGTCGAGCTTAGACAAAATAAATAAAATAATTGTCTAGTGTAGCCGGGAGCGTCGTGTTCTTGCTGGTTCACTGCTCTGTGTGTTTTCAAATCACTGTTTTGTGTTTTTTTGCACCTTGCGCTGAGCCATTTGGCATTTGGTTGGCAAAATAAGAATTCGCAGTTTACCATCGTTATCTGTGCGTCACTAGTTATCAGGTTTAGGTACCTATTCACAATTCAGTTCAGTTTACGACGGGCGACGGTGAGAAACGTCCAACCGACGTCACGTGTACACGGTGTATATTTATAATTCCCTCTCTTTTTGCTGAGCTGTGGCCTGTGGCACTTACGGTGTGTGGTGTATTCCTGTTCACGATTCCATTGGAAATTGGAAGGAAAATGGCATACAAACTCTTATTATTAGAATGGGGCCTTGATTTTAATTGATATAAAACTATCAAGTTGCCGGAATAACTAAATTATATTTCAAACGTTACTAAATCACTTTTGATAGTAACTAGATTCCATTTCACACTCACTATTAACGTCAGAAGAAATGAGTAATTGCCCCAACTGGGAAAATTTGTTGTGATAACAAACATATATTGAAACAGTACTAACAATCTAATTGTCATGACTATGTATATTGATTGTGGCAAATTAAACTTGGTATCATTCCTTAAAAAGGCTTATTAGTTACCACAACAACGTCGTAGATCACTCAACTAAACTTTTTATTTCAGGCAAATAGGCGTTTCCAGAAAAACAGAATTAGTTATGGCAACAACTGATGCTTGCTGTCCCCTATCGTACTAAAAAAATTTTCTGTAGTTACTAATTTTTTAGTAACGGCTACAAATTTTTTCCCTCAGTGTAGGGGGGCGGTTTGTTATGGCTCAGGGCGTGAAAAAGCAGGAAATGAGAGGTTTCCAAGTGCTAGAAAGTAGATTATTGTGATACAAGTAACACCAAAAACAAGTCCACGGAACAGCATACGTTCTTCATCACATGTTCAGTTATCAGTTTCGGGCCTTACTACACGAGAGCAGAGTATGCAGATTCCATCTGCGGTTTATTTTTTTTTCAAATATCAAGAAGAATCGATTTGCATGCATCTACTCATAGTTCGAAATCATCAATTCTCAAAGCAAATTCAAATTTGACGCCGCTGCATGCGAACATAAAGTGATAATTGTCTAGGACATGTTGAAAACCTATGAAAAAATCATTACTCCGAAGTTGCATACATTGAAAAACCTGCTACTACTGGTCACTCTTGTTGTTCCTAGAGAAAATAGTGTATGCAGCGATTATCTAATGACTATTCATATAAATGATCGTTATTATTGCATTGATAACTATCATATATCCGATTTATTTTCACATTGTGAGTAGGGTATATTATCAGTAACTGAAACCTTGCTTATTTGTAGGTTACTGTTCGATCAGTTGGGCTCAGGGTAGGGACGACGTTTCGTTCACGGTATCCTCAGACACCGCAGCAGTAGCGCAAGACACTGGACTGCCTGCCAGTGGCTTCATGGGTGACAGTTGCAACACTGACTATGTCGTCATACCGAATCCCTACTACCAAAATGGTACTGCGGTACTCACTGATCGATTTTGTGGAAATGCATTCACTAGTATCGTGAGTGAGTATTGATTGTGATGCAAATATAATGTATCAAACAATTTGTATTATTGAAAATTACGTGAACCCACACAGCAATTTGACGTCCAATGTACAGGATTCGCCTCATGAAATTGAACCCCTCTCAATCCTTTTATTTCTGGAGATATGAAAAAATGTCAGATGGAACAGTTTTTCGAATCTTTTTTGCGTGGCTGTTTCAGATACAGAGTCATCAGATTTCATGGAAAGGACATTAAATCCATTTTTTTATGGAACACCCTATATATTTTTTCAAATTCTGATAGAGCTTCCTATTCTGATTTCAAAAATATAATCGAATTGCATATTCGGATGAGAAACTGTTTAGTTATCAATGATCAAAGTTTTACCAAAATACCAAATGGTTCAGTCAAATTGTAACATTCATTTCATCAATTGAAATGGAACGGTTTCAATTTCATAATTGACCATTACCTTCTCATTTCTGATGAGCTTGAACAATATATGAACATTATTGCAAAGCTCACCATGTTCGACTGTCATTAGGTGATATGGAGTGGAAGTTAATTAAGCAGCATTTTGGAAAAGTGTGATCATTATTAACAAACAATTTTACCTATTCAAATATGCAACTGAACCCCATTAACCACAATAAATAAAACTCTAATATTATCAAAAATTGATTTGAAATCTTGAGCAGAACATTTATATAACCCTTCACCTAGTTCACCTTGTATGAATTCACCCTGCATATCTATAAAAACTCCAATACTCTCAACATTTCGAATATATGACTTCGTTGTCCTTTATAAATCCAAAGTAGAAATATTAGTAATCATTCTTTTGAAAACTCCAGATAATTCTACCCTGTATATGCAGTGGCCTATTTTGAGAATCTATCACAACATGCATTAACTTGAGGATGTACATCATTATAATCCAGCTTGAAAACTAACAGTGATTTCACTCTGTATAGCCTTAGGAAGAGGCAGTGTCAATTCCATTAAGTTGAAAACTGCATGATTAAGCCTTCCGATAATTTGAATGGGTCCACCCCGTTGTATAATGTCCACAAAATGTCAATATTCCAAATTCTAACAGAAAAAGAATCTTATTTGTGAGGTGAGCTCACCAAAATGCAAATCTCCACTTCACTCAACAGGCGACAAAATCCACTCCGAGTACAAACTGGATTATAACAAATAGTGTGAGATGATTTGAAGACGTTAACGACTTGAACTTGGTATGGAATCTGAGTACTATAGCTTCTATCTAATAATTCCATTGAGAAGTTCTGTCACATCTTCAGTGTTACTAGTTTCAAGAAATTACTCCATACTAAGGATTTCAGTACCTTCAATGGCCAGATTTCCCAGAAAATTACACTGTTAATAAATTTCATTCGATGAAATATGTATCACACTCACCCGAGTGTCAGGGGGGTTGAATTCCATCTATGACCTACAAGTGAGATACTACGAGGTATCGCAGGATTCTTGTACCTTATTTGGGCTCCCTTGCTTCTGTTGAGAGGTTTGAGAGGTAATATTATGTTATGTTAGCTCCTTATGAAATATTGGTAATATTGCACCAATAATGCGATGTTTTTGTTTTCGAAAATGATTTTTAGTAATTACATATTTTTGTCCCGAGGAATTGAATTTGATAATGAGAATGTGAACAAACCACAATTTATAGAGATAATTCACGAAGAACTTCTAAATTTCACCTTATTTTTCCGCCTGTATTTGAATACGCATCAACTGATTTATAGCTACTTGCTCTTCTGATTTTAACAGACTTTATTTAGTCATAATGTACTCCAATGACACATTTTATATAAGAAAATCAACAAGAAATATATTTTTATAATCACTGTATAATCATACCAGCTGACAGCATTTTATTATAGATGTCGAATAAAGGTCGAATGCAACAGATTTTAAATGAACACAAAGTTTTAGACAAATTGCTATTGAATAACGTTATACAAATTATTTTGAATGTTTGACCAATTCGATCATTAATCGCCCTCATTGATAAACTTGTTAGTTGAATAACCATTATATGCATGCATACGTAGCTGATATGGAATTTTTATTCTCATTACAGCTTCATCAAGGCCATTCGTTCTGTCAGTCATCACCGATGGAGATGAAGCAGCAGATGCTGCCAATAGAGGATTTTCTTTAACATACACACAAGAATTCTGCTCAAATTTAGCTTATGTGTTCCTCAGATGATAATAATGATTGAATAATTGATACATAATATTTTTTTTATTTATTCCCAGCTCAGTGAAACGGTTACGATGAAAATCCTCTCATGGAAAGAATTCAAGAAGTCGGATTCTCTGTAGTTCCATATGTTTTTGGGTTAACAATCCGAGTCTGCAGTTTGCAAACGGCATTTCCTGGAGCGTTCAAAGATATTCGAAAAACACACAAAAATTCTCGCACTTCTTCCATTTTTTTGCCTGTAACTCAGAACTATACAATATATTGTCACAAACTGAAGGCGGGGGTTGCCTAAGTTGTGTTCTAGATCCATTAGAGAATGGACTTTAAAAGTGATGATAATAAATAAAACTCAAAAAGGTTTTCAAACAAAACATATACAGGGTGTTTCCTGACTACGGTTCCTAACTGCAGGTGGTGATTCGTTAGGTCATTTAAGGAAGAAAATTTCCTATTGACATATGTCCGGAGTTGCTTCGTTTTTGAGATACAGGGCGATGAAATTGAAGAAAAAAAAACGGTAATTACAAAATATCATGAATATCCTGGAACCGATTTGGTTGGAATTTGGTACTTTTATTTGAACTAATAAGGCGCTCATTTAGCCCTATTTAGATTGGAATTATTGGAGCTAGTGCCGTCTCAGTGGGCACCACAGCCAACATCAACAATATTGTGAAAAAAGTACACCACTGACTTTTTTTGGTAAATTATAATTTTTTTTAGATTAAGCAACTCAAAATACAACTTTTTGGTTTCATGTATTTTCTTCGTGTACAGCTTCGTTTTCGAGAAAACAAATTAAAGTCACTGATGCATTGCATATCATGAACACCTGCATTGGAGAAATGAGTTTTGCATTATTTCCGTCAAAAATATAATGGACACTTGATATGCTGAAATTTTAGAAAATTTGACAAATAAAAGTACCAAATTCCAACCAAATCGGTTCCAGGAAATTCATGATATTTCATAATTACCGTTTTTTTTCTTTAAGTTCAACGCCCTGTATCTCAGAAACGAAGCAACTCCGGACATATGTTCATAGGAACTTTTCTTCTCAAAATGACCTAACAAATCACCCCCTGCAGTTAGGAACCGTAGTTAGGAAACACCCTGTATACACACGTTCATTCTGTGACTATACAACAAATATGAGAATCTCAACTTACCCTATAAGTATACATTATGAAGCTTATATTTCTGAGACCTTAGAGGGAAAGTATCTTCTGTTCTCCCAAACTTCGACTGTTCGGGCACAGTGGTAAGTGATCGAATCAATGAATGATCCATAATCGAATCAAATTATCGAATTGCCCTCATAATTGAATGATCTCTGTGCTGGCTTCCTCACGCCTTTTATATGTTCAATCTATATTTTGGAAACGTGACAGTGAAGAAGTCAGGTAGATATTTCTGGTTTGCACTTTGCAGAAAGTTGGAGTAGATTCAATTTCTCATACATAAATGTTGTGGCTTATGGATATTGGACTAACAGGCAAGGAGTTAGTGCAAGGTAAAATTGACCTCGCGTACTTTGAAAAAAATAGCGTTCTTCGTTGGTTTTTGCAGATTATTCATAATCTACGTATTTCTTGGGAGGGCATCAGATTTTCCATACTCAGAGCTCATGTGAAGTTTGCTAATATGCGAAAAAGTGCAAGGCTTCGACTTGGAGAAGTATTTTGGTCGTATAGTTGCCACACTCAAGTTAATCCTTTCCACTTGATTCCATTCATCTCATTCATTTGTGTTTTGTAGGATGAGAGGAACATGAAGATCTGATTATTATGTCCGATGAAACTATATACAGTTGTTGCGTTGAAATATCTCTGATCCAGGGTACATCATCCATCATCTGGTGGTTTGGAGCAGAAATGCAATAACATCAATATAAGCAGAGTAACTAACTTAAGGGGAGGTTTCAGGTGTGACTATATGGAAGTGCGATTGTAGTAAATGTCGATAGTAGATAAGAGTGAAACCTCTAAGTGATATTGTGATGTATAGCACGTTATTGACATCGATGGGATGGTTAATATCCTGGTCGATCATCAGTTGCTGCAGACCCCTTCACAATGTTACACACATCTTTTTGCAAAACAGACTGGAATACAAGCTCTCATACAAAATTATTGTTGCTTATTAATATTGGACTAACAGGTGACGAGCTAGGACAAGTTAAAATTGACCAAAGCGAACGTTGCAAACAATAGCGTTCTTCGTCGGTTTTCGCAGACTACTCATAATCTATGTATTTCTTGAGAAAACGCATTATGAGAAAAATTGATGAAGCATGAGATTTTCTATACTTACAAGTTAAAAAAAGTGGAAGACTTGGACTTGGAGATGTATTTCGGTCGTATAGTTGTCACAATCAAGTTTATCCTCCCCACTTAATTCCATTCATCTCATTCGTGTTCTGTGGGATAAGAGGAACATGAAAATCTGATTATTATGTCCGATGAAACTATACAGTTGTTACGTTTCAATATTTCTGATCCAGGGTAATATCATCCTCCATCTGGTGGTTTAGAGGAGAAATGCATAAACATCAATATAAGCAAAGTAACTAACTTTGGAAGAGGTTTCAAGTATGACTATATGAAAGTGTGATTGTAGTAAATGTCGATAGTAGATAAAGGTGAAATCTCTCAATGATATCAGCACGTTATCGACATCGATGGGATCGTTAAGATCCTGGTCGATCATCAGTTGCTGCAGACCCCTTCACAATGTTACACACATCTTTTTGCAAAACAGACTGGAATACAAGCTCTCATACAAAATTGTTGTTGCTTATCAATATTGGAAACAGGTGACGAGCTGGGGCAAGTTGAAATTGACCAGAGCGAACGTTGCAAACGATAGCGTTCTTCGTCGGTTCTCGCAGACTACTCATGATCTATGTATTTCTTGAGAAAACGCATTATGAGAAAAATTGATGGAGCATGAGATTTCCTATACTTGCAAGTTGAAAAAAAAAAACCGAAAGACTTGGACTTGGAGATGTATTTTGGTCGTATTATAGTTGTCACACTCAAGTTTATCCTTTCCACCTGATTCCATTCATCTCATTCATTTGTGTTCTGTGGGATGGGAGGAACATAAAAAACTGACAATTATGTCCGATGAAACTGTATAGTTGTTGCGTTCAAATATTTTGTATCCAGGGTACCATTATCCTCCATCTGGTGTTCAGTTGGAGGAATGCATAAACATTAATATAAGCAAAGTAATTAATTTTGGGGGAGGTTTCAAGTATGACTATATGAAAGTGTGATTGTAGTAAAGGTCAAGAGTAGATAAAGGTGAAACCTCTAATTAATGTTGTGATGGATGACACGTCATCGACATTGATGGGATCGTTAAGAACATGGTTGATCATCAGTTGCTGCAGATGTCTTCACAATGTTACACAAGTGTCTATGCAAAACAGACTGGCTTTCCCACAGCTGCAGTTTCACATTCAGCGACACTGAACGATACAAGGTGGAGGAAGGTTTTTCAGGAGGAAGAGGTCAGTTTCAGGAATGAGCTGTATAGGTTGTGAACAGTGTTCCTCGATCCAAATTTCTCAGGTGCTTTCGTGAAGTTGTCCTTGCTCAGCCATATTTGTACCTGCAGATATTGTGGTAATAAATGCTGGCAAGCTGTAGCCTCAGTAAAAAGAGAAATTGTGATATTCGATGTCGACTTGTAGGAATAGCTTGAATATCTTGTATCTTATATCAGACAGTGGCTTCGGTTGATCCTGAGAGTACAAGACTGCTCCATCAGCCTTCATGAAGTCTTCCAAATCTGCTTTAGGATCATCAAAAACATTGGGGAGGTTTTTTATATCAGGGTACTAGTTTAGTTATACGATGAATAGTTGTTCATTATACAGGGCACGGAGAGAAATTCTGGATTGAGAAACCCAATCACAGATATGTGTTGATCGTCTTCAGGGCATTTGTTGTCCCTTGCTCGAAAAAGGCACAAGTGTGACATAACTTCAGGCAGAAGGCAGAAGTAATGTCACAACCGGTTACAATATGCGCGAAGAATATGTACTCACTCGTGATAATTGAGGGTGATGTTTGGATGGTTCGGATAGTTGGGTACTTTATCTCTTTCAGCTTCTGAAGAATATACGTTGAACGAAGTCTGTAACCTGAGAGGACCAGAAGGTTGAAATCTTTGCCAACAACTAGCTTTATACCGAATTACAATCATTTGACACACGAAAAATATTTTTTCTTATAGGAGTCTCTAGGCAATTCGAATATGAGAACGACGTGAACTTCACACAACATAGTATTAATACACGAAACAAGTGTAATCGAATTATAATCACGAGACCTGGAAGAAAAGCCGCTACACAGTGAAAAAAATAACACCAATTCACACCAGCTAACACCCTTGGGTGTTCGCTGAGGTGTTCGCTGAAGTATCTAGTGCTAATTGGTGTACTATACAATCATCATAATTATATAATTGATGAATCAACTTAGAATTCATTCAATGCATTATCTTCACGAAACGATCCATTTTTTTGTCACCTATCAATTTGATGATAATATACCAAGAAAATTCTCATCCATGTTCTAATGAGATCAAGTTTTCCGGTGGTATTTTCAACATCAGCAACATTATTTATCCACATGGGAGAACGCAAAATGATGGGTGAATTATATTAGCTCCAATAAATCTCATGATTCTTACACTGTTGTCATTCATTCGTGATTGGTCAGGGTGTAACTAGGTGTTAATTCCATATAAATAGTGTATTTTTTGCGTTAGCTTGAATAATAACACTATCGAAAGTAATTACCTTTCATCCTTCTGGTGTTTCTTTTGAATGGATATTTCACAACCCCTCTAGATTACCACATCCGTGTGATTTTCTAGAAAGGAGGCGTGAATTGACACAACTGTGCACGGCATTATCAAATTTCTAATAATATTGATATAATATGGCTGATCAAGTGTTGATTCAATCGGAGTTATTCCTGAAATCCACT